GGCATTTTTATTACTTTCCAGCCAGATGGGCATCACCTTTCCAGCAGTCACCTAGGAGGATATGCTACCTCCGTTCTGCAGACCTGCTCAAACCCACGAAGGCATCATTGCTGGTCATACTGTCAGCTGTGGGCTGGCTTATCTTTCAAAGGTCCTCATTCCACCATCAGTCACACCAGGAGAGGCCCAGGAATTCTGCATTTTAAACACGGGCACAATGCCAACAGTTCTTCTTTCCATGCTATTGAGAGCAACCTGTGAAGATCATCAACAGCCATGCCTTCAGCATCTCCATAGTGACTTGGTCAGATCCTGCAGTTCTGCATTGCTGGGTTGTTTGATGGCTGTGGCAATCTCTCTCTGGCTTCGCTCCCCATTCAGTATTAGAGGTGGTCCTGGGACATCCAGCTCCCGATCGAACGTCGCTGGTGAATCACCATTCAAAAGAGAACCCAAATGGAATTAATCGATCATAGAAGCAGCACTTTAGTGCTTGGGAATACCAGGCAAATGGAGGGATGGGTTTCTGCTTGAAGACACGTGGCGAATGAGCGGTGGGTTTAATGGTGCAAAACTGGTCAGCTGCAGCCCGTTATCACCCATGCTACCAGAACCTGGTTTGCCCATGACTTGCTCCCCGCCGAGCTGCAGGTTACCAAACTCTGCCTCCAGAGGCTTCTGTTCAGGGCCCCATTGATGATGGTCTGTAGATCCTTGTAAACCTTGGTTGGTTGGTTGGTTGGTTGGTTGGTTGGTTGGTTGGTTGGTTGGTTTTGCCCTGGCCATTCTCTGTGTTGGTGCAGAAGCCGCAGGGCTGATCGTCGGTACAGCTCTGTTGAGGATCCAAATGGCAATATAGTCCAAAACTGCTTCGGGTGATGTTACTGATTAGTTGCCCCTGTTGTTGATTATGAATCCTATTCCCCATCGCAGATGTTCACCACCAGGGTAGCACTAGTGCACGGTGTGTCCAGCAACATCTGCATCAGAAATCTCCTGGGCAGATCCAGACCCAGATCCGCAGTTCAGCTGAAATGAGCAGCTCTGTTCTATTTCGGCACTTCGGTAGAGGGTTGCTCTGGTTTCCCCACTCGGGCACCCCTTAAGACTTTCCACGTGGCAAAGTTAGCAGTGTTCTTTGGCGTTGCATGTTTCTGGGTGGCACCCTGTAGCTCAGCCCTGTGCAACACCCTGAGAGCCACCAGCACCGCAACAGCAGGATCTCATTGGGCACTTTTCACTGGTGACCTGGTAATTCCGAACGTTAGGAAGCCGGCTGCTCCGTCCGTGTGGGGTAGCATCGCTTGAGGTTACGTGCTGATAAATTTTGCATTGTTCGGCAGATGGCAACCATCATTCTCAGCCATGCGATGACCACTGGCCCTCACGTGTTGTCACCCTCACAGCGCTATGAGCTAACTCTAAATCCTGATGTAAATAAAAGGATGGTTGTCTCTGTGGGGTTCTGGGGCAGTGCCAGGGTCTAGCAGCCAGTTTCAGCATGGGGGCCATAGTTGTGGAACATTTTGCGGCCGGAGCTGGCTCCCTTTTGCTGAACCGATTCTGGAGGAAAAAGGATTCCCGAGGGAAGAGGGGCTCTCTGGGCTGCTCCTGGAACCTCTGGAGCCAGGAACCCGAGAGATGCGTGGCAGCCCAGTCCGGCGGTGAGGCACCGCTCGCCTGCCAGCTCCTCCAGGCATTAAGGGTTCAGGATCCCAGAGCAAGTCTTTCCCAAGCCATTTGTTTCTCTTCCTGCCCAGGGCGCTCCAGATAGCCGGCCCCCATTGGTTGACGTCTCCCCGTGGTTGGGCGCCCATTTGGCCAAATGACAAGGCACCCAGATCCGTCGTTAGAAAGAGGCTGCCCCATCTGCTCCCTGGTTGCAGGGAACAGGGGCATCCTTTTGTAGCCACCGCCACCACCACCCTTGGGCGCATGGAGAGCAAAGGGGGGCTGGCTGAGGAGCCTGGCCTTTGGCAGACGAGATGCCCCCCTTGCTCTCCCTTCCAAGCCGCACCCCCGATCCACGCTCCAGTTTCCAGGGCTGAAATCCCGCCTCGTTCTCCGCAACGCTGCTGCTTGCAAGGACCAAGTGGTGCTACAGGCTGATCCTGGGAGGTTGTTTTTGAAGGCTTCTTTCCATCTTGAGCTGATGTTACGAGCAGAAGCAGTCCTTGGCCCTGTGGCTTTGTTTTTCTGTGTTCTCAGTGTGTATTCAAACCCTAATTACAGATCAATTAGTCTGTTTTTGAGCCCAGTATCAGAGGATTAATGAAAAGAAAATGAGTGGCCCATGGATGTTGTTTCATGTGGGGATAAAGAGCCGACAAACATGAATGGGTCTCTTGAAGTTGCTGAATAGAAGAGGGTTTCTTCATTCTGTGTCAGGCAGAGTTTATGGGATGTTGGGAGAAAGGATTATGGGAATATTCATGACCAGATGAGGGGCTGGGAAGAATGGAGCCTGGAGCAGCTCATCTTTTGAGTAAACACCAAGTAAATGGAAGGGAGAAGGGGCATTCACTGCACTCGGCCCAACGGGTCCATTGTCACAAGGCTGGGACGAGGCTTTGTGCCTCTGGGGGCTGCTGGTGGGAGAGTTGTTTAACAGGTGTTGGGAGAATTAGGGGGCGTTCGTGTCTCACCCTCTCAAAGGGGCATTGTCTGGAGCCCTTCCTCGGCATCCAGCGCAAGAGGGGAGATGCGAAACGGACAAGGCCGAGTGACCCGAGAAGCCGGCAGCGGGGCCCCCGGGTTGGCCCGGAATCCCCAGTGGCGCAGCTCGGGTGCCCCGAGGAAATGAGGCCCGGGGGCTGAGCTGGCCGGTTGGGCACCTCACTACCTCCCGGTTTCGGAATTGGCGCTGACTCTTCCGGTTCCTGCCCTTGGGGGCCTGGGCCAAGCTCTGCCGTACAGACGGGATGGCTGCTTGTCTCCGCAGCTCTTCTGCCCAAGCTGCCAGTTTGGCACCTGGCATCCTGCTTTGAGGGTTCCCGATGTCCGGGAGGTTGAAGAAAGGTTGTCTTCCTTTCACGGCTGGTGCCATCTGGGAACCCTGGAGGCTTGTTCCTTTCTGTGTGTTTGTACCTTATGCTTCCACGGAGGATTACTTGGCTCGGCTTCGCTGTTCATGATGGGCATCGCTTGGAGCCCGTAGAGCGGGGAGGAGCCTGACTTCCAGTACTGGCTCGGATAGGCTCTTTATTTTCCTGGGGAGCGTGGAGCCCAAGGGGCTCGCCCTCCACATTTCAGGGGCCTTTACGCATCCTGCTGAAGCATGTTGGCGGCGGCGGTGGCCTTTCCAAGGCTACCAGCGGTCCAGTCACGATCCCACAGCCAGCATGGTCTGGTGATGCCAGTGCTGGCCAAGAACCAGGGGGGCCCAGCTCTCGTCTCCCCTCAGCTCAGCCCACCCCACAGGGTGACCGGTGGGAGGGTGAAACTGTCGCCAAGCCTAGGGGGGATCTCCGGCAGGACAGCCTTCCCCAGCCTGCTGTCCTCCAGGCACTGTGGGCTTCCCAGTGGCCCGGCCCAGAGGTACCAGGCTGGCCTATGGTGCAAATTAGGGTATTTGGGGAGCCAACCTTGGCTGGCAGCTGCGGGTTGAAGCGGCAGTTCTGCTTGGCCACCTTGACTGTTCTGCCCCGCGCCTGGACGTGCCTCTCCTGCCCCACTGCGCTCCGGGGCAAGCTCACCCACCTTTCTGCCTCGAGGCGAACCTAGTTCCGCTTTGGCATCTCGGCTGGGGTGCCAGCTTGCTGGGGGCCCAGGCTGGGTCTCGGGACTCTCTGCCAGCTGAGTTTCTGGGCAGGAGCACTTTGCCCTGAGCTAGGTGGATCTAGCCTGGAGAGCGGGGTCTGCATTAGACGGACTGCTCCTTGGAGCAGACTGGAGTACAGGAACCGGCGTTTGGCCCTAGTCTTCCACGTAATCTTTAAACCACTCCACGTTTTGAGGAATGGAGCACAACCTCTGCAGCGGTGCCAGGGCAGTCCCTCGCCTTTCTCTGCTGGCCCACCTGCCTCTTCCGGGCTGTTTCATTCAAATGTTCTGTTAGAACAGTCAACCCTCCGGAAGAAGTGGGAGCTTCTGGAATTTGTGAGCTAGTGGCGTTTTTAATGTTTTTCTTCCTTGCATTTTTGAAGCTGATCAAACCGCTTGACCAACGTGGAGAGGCCCATTCTGGGAGGAGCAGCAGCCCTGGCCATGCGCCCTCCCCGTCCCCACCCCTTCCGAGAGGGAGCAGCGCCTGCCCCGCATTGTTCTTCAGGAAGAAATAACAGAGCTTCTCCATTGCTGGCTTCTAACCACATCCAGGATCTGGGTTCACTCAACCCAGTTAGTTAGTTTGGTTACCATACAGCGTGTTAAGCTTGGTTAGTTTAGGGCCTGATTTGGTCTTTCAGTGGCTTGGTGGGTTGTCTAAATGTAGCCCTTTTAGCACCTTATGGTGCTACCCAGAACATGGCTTCCTTCAGATTAAGACTCGGTGCAAATCCAGGCAGGCAGGGTGCGTGTTAGACACAAACCCTGGCTTGCGTGGGGCTGCCTTTGGTTTTCACTGGAGCACCTGCTGAAGGAGCAGTGAGGGAGGGGCCCGTCAGAGAAAATGCTATTCCTCCCAGGCAGAGAGAAGGCCTGGCTGCCCATTAGGCCCCCCTCAACTTGCATGCATGTCTCAGCATAGGATGCCGGCCCTTAGACACACTTCTGTGAGTTTCAGTAAAGGCTGAATAATTAGTTATATTGCTTACTGGTACCTGCTGTTAAATACAATTGTGTGGACATTTTTTTTTCATTGCTAAGTATATGCTATATGATAGATTTATCTAGAAGGAACCAAGTTGGAGGAAGCCGGTTTGAGAGCTGGTCTGAATGAATCTCATTGCATGCAATGAGTCCTCTGACGATTGCTGGGATAGAGAAGGAACGAGAGACCCTCTTGCTGCCCTTCCTAGACTTCCTTCTCTGTGCCTAAAGCTGGGAACTTGATGTTTCAGAAAAAGTTCGGGAGATCCAGGAGAAGCTTGAAGTCTTCATTGAAGCCCTCCATCAAGAGGAGAAGTAACGGGTTCGCCCAGGTAATGCCGCTGAGCTTCTTCAATGGAAATTCACTTAGTCTTGTCAAGAATCAGCGTGTTCCCATCTCCAGTAGTGGCTGTCCTTGGTTGGGGGCATGAAACTCGTCATTACTAATTTCTGGGGCTGGGTGGAAAGATGTTCCTGGGCTGGTGTGCTGGTGGAGGGATCCCTGATCGCCTCCTTAGGAAACAAGAGGCCCCTGGTCTGATCCTGGCAGTTCTCTTATTTGTTGATTAAATTTATATGCCACCCGCCTCCCAACATCTCTGGGCAAAATGGCTCTGAGAGGCCACCCAGCTGAACTTTGTGCTTCATCTTACAGACTTTGCCTCGTTTGTTGTCGTGGCACCCCTAACATTGGGCCTCCTAATCAGTTTCCCAGCCAGTTGGGGGCTGAACCTGGAGCTTCCGAATCCAACACAATTTGTTTTAAGCTGTTGCTTCCTGTAAGGTCAAATGCCTCCCGGTTCCTACCTGTGAAATCCTTGGATGGTCGGACTCTGAACACAACGGGAGGTCTGCTGCTGCAGCCTGGCAGCCTTTCCAGGAGCTCCTCCAGGCTCTGTGGCAAGAGAGCTGAGCATCTGGGTGCTGATCCTGGGCAGAAGCTGCAGCTTCGCGGGGCTTGGGACACACTTGGAAGTATAACAGTGTGCCTTGACGATTGCTCCATGTTTCCTTCATAAATTCATTTGCATGCTTCTGTTTTTCAGTTCTATGGAAAGAGAAGGCCCTGCTCTGGAGTACATGGTGATCATCTCTCCACTGAACTTTTTGGAGTCTCCCAGAATGTTGCAAAAGGGAATGCTGCACTTAGAGGGAGACGGATGGATGCTAACGGATGCGCTTCAGAATGAGAAGCAAACCAAGAAGACAACTGAAACCTGGACTTCATCGCATCCTTGAAGTGACAGCTGGTGGGGTGGTATCCAGATTGTGCAATTCTCCTCTCCCTTTTTTTATTTTGAAGATGGGATAAACAGAAGTGAGGAATTTTCGGCCTGAGATGATCTTCTCTCTCGTCTCCTCCATTATGTGTGAGACCCGAGGAGCTTAAAATAAAATTTTGGCATCTGTATGTATATCAATATCACCTTTTAATGAATATTTTGCTTGTACATGCAGTATGTTGAGATGTCCCCCAAGTGACTTTGCTTGCAAATGTTCTGTTGAGAGACCAGGCGGGTATAGCAAAGTAATTCCAGGCTTGGCTGAAGCACTTGAGAGGACTTGACAGGGACAGCAGCCCCTGTGTGTTTCCCGCTGATTTGCAGATGGACGTTCCTGATGCCTTTTGTGGAAACCTTGCCCGCAGCACCGCCTCATTCACCATTCACTTTGCTGCCATTTTCTCAGGTGGAGCAGGGAGCCCTTTGGCCACCCACATCTCATTTCCATGTTTCGTGGTCCCCGGTAGAATTTCATTCTGATTTTGTGTTGAAAGAACAGCGTGCCCAGGCGGTAGCAGATGAATGATGATGCCATGGCAGTTTGAGATGATAAGCAACTCTGGGAGAACTTTCGGGAGTTCTGTTTCCTGACTAATCTTAAGGAAACAATCCAGTTTATCAGACCTCGCCCAGTTTGCGTTCTGCCCCTTTGTTCTGAGGCTGCAGTGAGTTCCCAAATGAAAGGTCAGTTCTTTGGCTCCCCGGTCCCAGGCCTCTGCAAATCATCACATTTGCCCTGTCGCAAAACACCACCACGGGTCACCTCTTTGTAGCTATTGGTGGGCTGGAGAGGCTTAGGGAGCAAGTGGCTCCAGAGGGGCTCCTGCACTTCTTGAAAGGCCCGGCGTGGATCGCAGCAGCAGCCTATTGCACTGACCCTGAGTGAGGAACTTGCTTTTGCCAGTCCCCTTGTCCCCTTATTTTTCGGGCTTGCAAATTCTTTTGGTTTTCCTTTTCTAAGGAAAGGCAAAAGCTAAGCATCCTTTTCTCCCTCCTGCATGCCTCTTCATGGGAGGCTGCTCCTCGAGGTCCTGCCAGGGGGCAATGCTGCTGCCCCTCCAGCGCTTGCCTTAGATTTCCTTGATTGCGCCCCTCACTTAGGCCTGCTGAGACCAGAAACACGTTGATTGACAGGGAGCTCGGCTGGGCTTCCGCTCTCCATGTTGCAAAAACGCAGGGGCGTTCTGCGGGTGCCGATGCTCTCTATCTTCAGCCTTTGAAAATACGAAAGAGGAGAAGTCTGTTCTTTTAAGAACCAAGCGAAGAAGAGGTGGGGTGCAGAATGGTCCAGCGGCCGAAGCTGTTTGCATTGGCGAGGGGGAGGGAGCTCTGCCGAAGGCCGCCTTGTAGGGACCACCCAGCACCCCCTTTTTATGGCATGTTGATCTTTTTAATTTGCGCCATCGGATACACTTTGATTATAACCTCTGCTGCTGTTCTGTGTCTTCAGACGATGTCCCTCTGAAAGTTATTTATTGAATGCAGGTGTCATGGAAGAAAAATAAATGCAGGTTTTGAGCATTTAATTCCAAGTGTCGTATATGACTCCGGGCTGCCGGGCCGCCTCTCCCGCCACCTAAGAGGGCCCCGGCCCCTGTGCGCGGGCGAGCAGCAGAGGTTGGGGGGCCTCTTTTAGCCAATACCAACAATGGGAGTGAGGGCTGCCCCCCCAGAGGCAAATACGGCCAGGCTTCATCCTGGCCTCCGGTTTTAACGGGGAGGCCGTTTAAGGAGAGGCCCAGCTTGGCCCGACCTGTTCCTGTGTCTCCCGTAAGGGCAGGTGATTAGCCCAGGGCAGAGTCCCCGGGGCGGAGGCTGCGATGCGGGTCTCCCGGGATCTCCTCTGCCTTGGAGGTTGTTCCCCGCCCACCGCCCGTGCTAACTGGGGAGAAGGAGAAGCCACAGCGCCCCTCACCAGGCCCCACCCTGGAGCCCATCGCAAGGACGCGGTCTCTGCTCCCGCTTCCTCTCCAGAGGCAATGCTTTCCTGCGACCGCTTCTCCTTGGGAAGTCACAGGGGCCGACTCTTGAACGGTTTTGTTTTCAACGTCTGGATAATGGGAAGCCGGCGTGCAAGGGATGCCCTGGCTTGAAGGAGAGGAAATGAAAGGTGGAGATAAATAAGCAGGTCGGAGGAGTTATTCGCTGCTGTCTCATTTTGGGACAAGAGGTTTTATCCTCCTCATACTTTTTCAAGGGAAAAAAAGTGAGTTTAAAATGTACACTGCACTTGGTCTTTCTTTAGAGTGCTAATCCTCCGTCTTCTTTAATTAGCTGTGATGGATTGGTTTGGTAAAAGCACCAAGCATTGGGTATTTTATAGCGATCGCTAAGTGCAAAAAAAAATTGATTTTCTTTTAATTACTCAAACCGGCATCCAGAGAGAGAGTGGCTGGCTACATTTTACTTAAGGGGGTATTAAAATAAAATTACCCTAATTATTTTATTACTTGTTTTCATACAGAAATTACAGTGCATTACTGAGCAGCCCACGGATTAGTCCATCCCATAAATTTGCAAATAAGATGCTTAGGCAGAAATCTTCACTGGAGAGAGTGGGATTGGGGAGGGAGGGAGGGAGAGAAAAATGGGAAAGATTCTTGAACCGAGGGTTAAAACGCACATCGATAGTTCAGTGTGAAGATTTAGAAAACGGTCTCGGTGATTTTCACTGGATTTACGCCCACCAAAGAGGAGCTCTCAAGGCACGTGCAAAGCTGCAAGAATGCTTCGCGGTAAATTCAAGAGGAGAAAGGTTTGTCTAAGTAAATACAAATACTTGTGCTTGTGACCCATTTGCCACTGATAAAATAGGTGTGCGAGCAAAGTCCTTTCTTCATTCCTTCTTTAGTCCTGCCGTTGTCATCGGGGGAAGTAAACTCTTCCAGGGCTGTTCAAGGCTGATCCGGGAGAGGCCACCACTTGGCTGCCTTCAAGGGCCCATTTCTCCCAGGGTTTCCGACCAGGCGCCCGGCTGCTCTCCAGCCCAGCCCAGGGTGGCCCGTGGACCCGCGTGCGCGGCCTCTGCAGCCCTGGCGCTCAGCGGCCCACGGTGCCCTCCGGGTGGGACGCGTCCCGAGCGGGGCCAGGGCTAGGGGCCAAACGTGCCTCTGTCTTAGGGGAGGAGCAACAGAGGGAATGACCCCCCATGAGTCCTTGGGGTTCCTCACTGGGTCAGCCTCAGGAGCCCCTCCCCTCCACCCCCAGCCCCAATTCCTCTCTCTCCTGCCAGCATCAACGTTCAGAAAGCTGGACAGGCGGTTTGCATTTGCAAAGGCTTGGCTCCATCACTGCCACAGGGGAGGTGGGGTTCCTCCCCCCACGGGCACAAGCACCCCCCTTCTTTTTTTTGCCTATTATGTGGCAACAAAGAGCGGGCAGGCCGGGGGAGGCCAGTCCAATCTTGCCGTGTAACAGGCGACCCCCAAAGCGGCCCCCCCCCCCCTCCCTTCAT